TGGACCCCCAGCACCCAACACTCTTCTTTCTTCCAACATACTCAGGCAGAGTGGACATAGAAATTGTGTCTTACTGATAAAGACAGAGCTACCCAGCCAACAGCTCAGTGGTGCGAATTGGCTTAATGCTTCTAAAGTCCATGGTATGCCCCTGGTTGTTCCCCATGGACCCGTCATGGTGAACATACCCTGCATCCTTGCATGGCCAGGGTGGTTATTTTACCCTCTCAGCCATCTTTTTCTCTAGTTGTTCCCCAGCCTTATCCCACTGTCTTCTTTCCTGTGTCCTGGTGTGAATAAACCCCAAGACCATGTCACTAGTGGATAACAGTGACCCTCGAGAGGGCTGGCTGTGGGCTGAGCGCTGCTTCAGTCAAGTGTGCAGCAGTCTTCCCATGAACTTCAAGGGAGCATCTTCAGTCTTCCAAGGGCGCTGCCTCTGAATCACAAATGGCAAGGATAGAAAAGACCTGCTAGGTCACATCCCGTTCTGCCTTCCTACCAAAGAAGGACTCTTCTGCACAGGAATACATCTCAAGAGCATTCATCTTCAGCCCCTGCCAGCCTGGGGATCACTGATAAGACGGGTGAGACTCTGCAGAGCCCTTCTCAGACACAACCAACAGACATCCTTTGGCTGAAGCCCTAGCTGCTGCTGGTCCCAGCCCACTATTATACTGATCTCCCAACGCTGAGGATGGTGCCCGTATGCTTTGCTTTCTAGCAGACAGCTGCATTCCTTCGGATCAGTGTGAAATTTCAGTTGCAGTTCCTTCCTAATTCCTTTTAATCACTGCAAATATTGCAGGATAGATGGTGAGCTGCGCTGCCGCTCGGCAGAAAACAGTGGGGTCAGATAAGGGATTGTCATTAACTGCATGGGAACTTGAGCTCTACCCTGTTTCCCTTGGGCTCTGAATGGATCTGCTCAGCCCCTGTCTTCACAGCTCTCCCACCAAAGCACTGGTGTCTGTTCATTTCAGGTGTGATGAGCAAGAAGGTGGTGGAAGGAAAGGGCTTGGTACTCATCAGGAGTGCGATGGATGCCTGCTCACATTACCTCGTGATGAAAATCTGTGTACCATGGAAGCTGGGAGGGTTACACGTGCGTGGCCACACCAGCATCAGGCATTTTTCCTATTTCTGAGATGCTTGCTTTGGTTTGGGTTGGATGTTGAAGACTCTTGGCATCCAGGTGTGTCATCGATACCCTTCACTGCTTGTGCAGATCTATATCCTCTTCCCTATTGGCTTTATAGTAAAGAAGGGATAAAATCAAAGTTCACTTTCTTACACCACCCCCCCACTTGGGGAAGCTTTGGATCTGGATCTGAACTAAGTGGCTCATTCCTCTCTCAATTTCCCATGTTTAATTCAAAAGGAAACATTAAAATGGCAGGAGCTGAGCCAAGACAGGGAGGGTTCAGATGAAATAGTTATTCTAACACTGTAACCATGGCAAAACTCTTATCTCTTAATGTCGGTGCCCCGCACCCATCACGATGCTATCTGAGCTGCTCAAGGTGAACCTCTGCCCATGGATGCATGGGGCAGCTCCAGTTTGGACTTTGCTGGAGCATGTTGGAAGAGTGTTGTGTCTTCCCAGTCAAGGGCTTTGTCAGCTGTGTTAGCACTGAGATCTTTCTCACAATTAGTAGCAAACGTCCTACAGAACAGTTTGTGTTTTATTTTGTTCCTTCTTCTTGGTTTTGGGTTGTTTTGGGGTGGTTTTTTTATAACACACACAAAAAAAGAGCAAAACAGATGAGGAAAAAAAGACTTTTGCCTTCTTGTGTTGTAACTGGACAGCGTCTGTGCATCAGCCTCAAGGATTTCGTGGTCTATTTTCCTTCCACTCGATTTAACTTCCTTCTTGCTCTAATTCTGAAATTATTCCCACATTTCACTGAATTCTTCCATTTCAGTTTCCATCTTGCTTTGTTCTTTTCACGCTGCTGTTTGATCTGGGATCTCCACTGTTACACTGGGAGTTTCTGCGGCCTGGAGCTCTTGCTTTCAAAATAACTCTCAGTTTGTTGCATCTGGGGGCCAGGTATTACGGTCTGAGGGCAAGCACAGTTGGTGCGCACATCGTGCTGCGGAAGAAGTGAAGATGAGGATTTAGAGAGAGATTTTGTCTGTCAAAAGGGGGCCCTTTGTGCCCTTTTCCAGCATGTCCATGGAAATGGACTCCAGCCATTTCCAGCCACCCCACTGATTCACTATAGAGAGATGGGGACAGCACTGAGCCTTGCCTTTTCCTTGACTGCCAGCTTTGGAAAGAGGGTCTTACAGGGTGTATCTTGAATCCCATGGGGTACATAGTGATGTTTCCAGCAGGAGGGACATGGAAGTGGCTCTGTTCCTTTTGGGTTGGTGTTACCAGCAGAGTTTTTGCTTTGTGCAGCTGCCACCTGAGGAAAATGCAGCAGTGACACTGGGTATTCCCAGGGAATAAATAGATTCCCTGCTCATTGCAGGGAGGGATTGGACTAGGTGACCTCCAAAGGTCCCTTCCAAACTATTCTATGATGCATTGCCTCATCAGGGGTATCAGTAGCACGTTGTATGTATAAAACAAAAGACCCTTTGAGGCTTTTTGGCTTGCTTCTGGAAAGGTTGGGTACTGGTGGGCACCTCGGCTGTAGCATACAAGCCAATTGGCCCATAGTGTTAACAGTGTTAAAATCCCTGTGAATAAGGATGATCCAACCAATTGTAGTTGCTTTGGATTTCCATAAGCATTATGGCAGAGCTCCTCCCTAGGAGTGCTTGAAGAAACTGAGCATCTTGGACAGGAGTGTGGGTTAGTGATTGGTGGACAGGCAAGGGATGGAGGGGAAGGGGAAAAGGGCTAGTTCCCACAGGGAGGGAACTCATGAGTAGACAAACTGGGGTCTTACTCTGATCTTAGTGCTGCTTCAAGCAGGGAGTTGGGTTGGAGATCTCTGAAGTCTCACTGCCTGAAACGGTGTGAGCTGTGCTGCTGAGTGTGTTTGCAAATGACCTGGAAAGGTGGGTGAGCAGTGCAATGGGAAGTTTGCTGGCAATACTCCACCAAAAGGTGCTGCTATTTGCTAAAGGTAGCAGAGATAAGAATTGCAGAGGGACTTTATGGCTGTGAGTGACTAGGTAATAATAATATGGCAGATTAAATAAATACAATGTAGATAAAGTGATGCATATGGGGAAAAAAACAGATTCCACATAAGCAGTGACAGACCCCGAGCTGACCAGTATCTCAGAGAAGAGAGACATCAGGGTTTCTATAGATGGTTCAACAGAAGTCTCATGTCAATGCCTGGTGGTGGTCACAAATCAGGTCAGGAGTTATGAATAAAGGACTGTTAAACAAAACGGAGGACATAGCATCTATTAGATAGATGCATCCACAGAGCACCCACAACATGAATACCATGCATTGTTCTGATCCTCTCAGCTCCAAAAGGACTAGCAAAAGTTCAGGGAAGAGCAGCAAAGGCCATCAGAGATAAGGGATGGTTCCACACACCCATCTGCTAAGGTGGTTTGATCTTTTTCTCCTGGAAAAGACGCTGAAGGGATGGTGGAGGACAAAAAATGTGTGTTACAATAGAGGTGAATGAGTCTATTGTCCTCTATTCAGGTGCAGGATCTGGGGGGCTTCAGGTGAAGACTGTAGGAACCAAGTTCAACATGAGCAAACTTTGCAAAAGAATGTTGTGGGTGCTCGAAATTGGCAGGGGTTCAGCTTATCAGACTAAATTCATGGGCAAAAAGCATCTATCATGGGTTGTGGGATACGGGGAAGGCACATCTAGCTGAGGTTAGCTGGAGCCAGGCGGAATACCTGAGGAGCATATTGGAGAAAAGAGAAGCTGAGGCATGGGCATGGCAAGAAGCATTAAAAACTCTCCAACCCTATTGACACCCTCGAGGGATGAGGAGGATGGAGACTGGTATGGAGGCAGATGGTAGAGGGACACTGCGGTATTCCGGTGATTGATGTAGTATGAAAACTTAGGATTGACGGGCGGTCAGACAACACGAGTGGCTAGGATGGATTTCAGATAAATGCCCGGCTCCAGTTTCCCGTAGGCGATAGGCCCCTGTGCGTTAAAGGCTGAATGACCTTTAGCAATTTTGCAAACTAGCAAGCAGGCCCCCGGGCCTATTGAACTCAGAGGAAGATCCCTCTTTAAGCTGGACACGGTGAAGTTGTGTGTGCAAAATTGAGCCTATACGTAGAGCTTTGGTGTGTCACGATGGGAAAGCAGTCAAACCCTGTGCAGCAGGAAATGTATGCTGCTCAGTTATTTAGGCACACACTGTTTAGTTGGAATTGTTTGAATGCTTCACATTACACTAGGAACCTTCAAGGGTAAAGAAATAAATTGCATCAGATACGGCCAGAGCCCTGAACCAGGCTCTGATCTGGGAGGTGAGGTACCATGATGGGGTGTTTTGGCAGGTAGGAATTACAGCCACCAGGTCCTGCTCCTGCAACAGCATTGTGGTTTTGCATGGGCTGGAAGTCATGATTGCTGCTGTTTGAGCACAAAAACACCAGGTTGTGATATATTTGCTCATACCCCCCCTTAGTGCCTTATTCTGCAAGACCTGCAATGGCATTGGAGCTACTTGCAGGGAGTAAGTAACTCAAGATGAATAACTGGATGGCATGGGGATTGCAGATTCCTGAGACAAACAGGGCCTCTGAGAAGCAGCCTGAGCAGCAGGCAGACATCCCAGGCCGTATCCTGCCATCACATTTTAAGCAGAACTGCCCTGCTGAAATCAAGAGGCTTCGTGCTGCTTTCATCCCCATGGAGAGCAGTGGGGGAGTTCTTCTTAAAAACCTGTTGGGACCATATGGCCTTTTATCGCTGGAGTTCCTATTTATGTTAAAAACTGCTAAGAAAATAACCTACAGTTGTTTTGCCATGCTTCAAGCAAGATATTTTGTTTATCTGTCCTAATTTTTAATTAATTCTTCTTTTTTTCCCTGTTACCCTTTCTAGGTTCCCTGCTATTCTTATGGTCAAAAGTTGTCCAAACTGGCCATCTTGAGAATAGCCTGTAACTATATCCTTTCCCTGGCCAGACTAGCAGACCTGGATTACAGTGCTGACCACAGTAACATGAGCTTCTCTGAATGCGTGGAGCAGTGCACTAGGACCTTACAAGCAGAAGGAAGATCTAAAAAAAGGAAGGTATGTTACAGCCTCCCCCAACGCCCCCCAAATAACGGGAAAAGTTACAAAAGCGGGGAAAAAAAAGGAGGAATCCAAAGGGGGTTCCTTCCTTTCCCAATCTCTTGGATATTTCCTGGGTTTTTTCATCCCTTGCCTTTCCCTCTTGCTTTTTCTCCTCCATCTGTCTGATCTTGTAATAACTGCATTCCTCTCTAATCAAAAGCTTTTCTCTCCTCCCTGTCCTCTGCGCCGGGCTCTTCCTCTCGTTAGTGGCCCATCGTGTGTTTAAACATGAGCATGATCCTATTAGAGTCATCTTGGGGCTGTTACTTGTTAAACCAAACCAACCTTGAGCTGCCTTTTGGAGCCCATAAAAACACGGTCGCCTCCTGTGTTTTCTGTTTTGTTTAATCTAACACTTATCTCCGAGAAAAATCGCCCCGACGACAACAAAAAAGTAGCTAATGGAGACGTTGTATGTATAAACACATTAGTAAGATGTATGACCTGAAGGACATGTGGGTATCTTGAGGAAACAACGTTAAATCTAATTATGCCCCACATTCCTTTAGGTTACTTAACACTGAACCAATTAGGTGAAATCATCGTCAAGCGGCAGGAGGAGGAAGCGGAGTGCTCTGCCAGTTTTCCTCTCGGAGAGTGACATGGGTGAATTAAAGGAGTGATTGATGTCTTTGTTCAGGCTTTTATGACAAAAAGAGTTTTGTAAACTTGAATTGAACTTCCCCCTGCATTCTGAGCTTGCTTGTCAGGCGGGATAATAAATCAGCAGGATTTTAATGGATGAATGGGCAGCTGAGCCGGGGAGCAGGCTCCTTCCCCAGTGTCATTAAGATCTGCCTCCAATTCGGGCAGGTTTCCTCACTTTTCGTCCTCTTTAGCCCAACAATTCATCCTACAACAATTTAGTTTATAAATAAGCACAATAGCACACTCTCTAGCGCTTCCTCTCACTGTCATGGCCTGTATTTATGACCCTGGGGCAGCAGTGCCAGGCAGAGATGCAACACTGCTTGACCACAGCCAACATCACTAGGTGAAACTGGGAAGTGCATGTGGAGCTCCTGGGCCCAGAATTTGGGGTTCATTGTGGGGTCCATAGTGCCACAAGCAGTGGTGTCCTAGGGACGCTGATGTGATGCCACTAACCCTAGGGCAAGGTGAGAGTTGGGTCTTGGGTCCCCCCCAAGCCAAGATAGAAGAGGACAAGCATCCTTCCTGGGGCTTCAGCAGATTGCTAGTGGAGTCTTGAGTCACCTCCCCAGGTCAAGATGGAAGAGAAGAAGAGGATGAGCATTCCTTTGGGGGCTTCAGTAGATTTCTGAGTGGGTCTTCAGGCTTTGAGTGCCCAGTGGGCTGAGACTCATTATCCTGGCTTATGTAAACCAAAGCAAGCTTGAAGACAAAACACAGAGCCAGATTTCAAACGGCTCCAAATCCCAGAGAGTTCACATCTGAGGGTTAGGGCTGGATCCATCCTTAATGAAAAAAAAATTAAATTAAGAATTAGAAGCCTTCCATTTATGGCATTTGTTCTCTAAAGTTTGCTCTGGAGCATATGCATGGACAAAAGCCCCAAACCCATTCGAGCAATGAAACTCTAATAGGCACATCCTGCCTCCCAATGGGCCACCACTGGCACACAGATACAGCATCACTAGGACAAAATCTGCCTTATCTCCATGTTCTTGAAGGACACCCACCTTAACCCTTCCCCAGAGGCCCTATCCAAAAAAGAAAGCTGGGCTTTGTACCTGAGGCAGGGTCTTGGTCCCTGCTCTGCCTTGTTTTTCTTTCTGGAATGTGTCTTGCAAATGTACTTCTGCTGCTTGGGAAAATCCAAGTTTAGGGCATTCTGTGGATTCCCCTGGCTGATAGGTGTGATTTTATCTCCAGCTATATTTGCTCAGGTGATTGCAAGAGCACACTCAGCTGATGAGGAACCCAAACACGGTACGTACCAAACCCAGTAGTAATTCCCGGTAGGTGGGAGTGGGGATGCAAAGCCTGTGCTGGGAGAACTCATCTTGGTATCTCCCTTTCTCCTTGAGCCAAGCAACTCAGTGGCATCATGAGCACAAGGGAGGGAAGTCACAGATCCAGGATGGCTGTGCAGGGAAGATCCAGGCTCTGGATGTCAGGTGATGATGTCAGGTCTCTCTTGGGGGGTCTCACACGGGCAGCTGAATGAGGATGCAATGCCTTGGCCCCAAATCACCGTGCCCTCATTCATTTGGAAATAGTCACGTTTTTACTAAGCAGTGTGTGTTTTTAAACAGTTCTCCCAAACCACTGCTCACTGAGCAGTTCCTCCGAGTTACCGACCTTGGGGTGGTTGTTGTGTTTGTGGTGGTGTTGTTTCAGGGGTTTCCTTTTTTAATCTCTCTTAAAAAGAATCACAGCAAGCCCGAGCACAAACCTCTGCTCCTTGAGCTCTACCGCTGGGTCCACAGCACCCTTATCTCCTGTCATCTCCATTTTATTGTGTCTCTGCCTTTATCACTCACTCTCTCAGCTCCCTGATTGCAATGTGCTGTGGCACTGTGAGCTTTTCACACTAAAAAGTAGCTGGTTGGAGTTTGTTTTGGCAGGCAGGGGCTCCAGATGTTGCCTTTGCTGGATCGTGCGTCTCCTTTTGCTTTGTTTTTGAGGGCGGATTATCTGTTGTCCTTAACGTTAGGTTGTTGTTCAGACTTTGCTGTTGCAATATGAAGCATAAAGGGGTGGTTTTTCCCCCTCTTTCCACTCCATTTTGTTAAACAGAAAAGTTGGCTTTAGCCTTTCAAACTTGACTAGGGGGAGAAAAAGCCCTCCCTTCCAGCCCTAACTATAGTTATACGGTGATTTTAGTTGTTGCAACTGAGACTTGACCGAGGGTGTTTGGTGATGGGAGATCTCATTTATAAGCAGCAAAGGGGGTAATTGAAGGGCTTCAAATGCCTTTTCCTTTCAAACCAAAAGCTGCATGGGGGGTGGTGAATTCTGATGATAGTCTTCATTTTTTAAGGATTCCTTTGGCTTGATTATACAAGTGATCTGAATTAGGCTTTGCCCTTCACCATGCTTGCAGGAGTCGTGCCACATTGGAGATGTGGGTTGTGGCACCCTCAGCAGAGCCCTGAACCCTGCTGGGGCCACACTGATGTCCTGGGAAGAGGGGGGGACCTGCCTTTGGCTCTAGCCAGGAGTATCCTCCAGCAGCACAGAGGACGCACAAGGGGAAGGATGTGGCTCAGAAAGGGGCATTCAAGTTTCTTCATCCCTGGTGTACCCCGTTTCTGCATGGGACATGATCCTGAGTGGCAGGAGGTTGCCTGAAAGCCTCGCACAGATTTTGTGGGGGTTTGGGTCCAGCCTGCTTTTTGCACACTCTCCTTTTATAGCCTTTTCCCAGCAGACCCAGACTCTGGTGCCCTGCAGGAAGGCAGCGCGAAGGCTTGGGGTAGGATCAGTGTGCGTGGCCGGGTGCTCTCCCTAGACACCAGTATTTTTGTGGGTGCACAGCTGTGTGCCGCAGCCCCCCACATCCCACGGGATCCAGGCAGCACAACCACAGCCCTTCACAGAGCAGGATCCGACTGCTAATACCCTTATAAAACACCCCCAGCACTGAACAGACCCCCCCCCCCTCCCCAGGTGCTAAAAAGCCCACCCCAGTCTCTCATGGCGAGGTTCACTTTCTTTGCCTTCCCCTCTCCCCTGTTTGCCTTTGCTTAGCCCCCGTGCTAGGCAGCAACATCGCCGTGGCCATGGGAGCTAAGCCGGAGCAGGGAGCGACGGGTGAGGGATTTTTTCCTCCTCATCCTCCCCCCGTCCAGGCTCTTCTGGCAGTCGCAGACTCCAGATGTTCGGAGCGCGAGCTGGGAAGTCCTGCTGGCGCCACTTGGGGCAGAGGGCAGGGGAAAGGCACGCGAGCTGGAACCCGGAGTACTCAGTCACTGCAGGACTTGGCGCATTCCCCAGCTCGCTGCTGGCACATTCCCCAGCTCTCTCCTGGCCATCTGTTCCAAAAAAACACTTTCAGAACCTCATCATCACTCAGGATACAACACTGCGAGCAGCTGTTAGCGAGGCAGAAGGGAAAAAAAATAACACACACACACACACTGCAAAGAAAAAAAAAACCCCAAACCATGCTAAAGGTCTCTTTGTGAGAGAGGAAACTGGGTTATGAATAACAGGCAAGCAGTTGGAGCTCAATAAAAGTCTTCGGCTGGAATTTAGTTTCTTGGGTTGGTGCCTGTGTGTGTGGATGCGCACAGACGCAAGGAATTAAACATTAAAAATGCTCTTTATATATACATATGTATTCCCTGATAATTAAATGATAGAGGAGCGTATATGGAATGAAAAGCCATTCTGTTGGTTGCGCTAAAAGGGCTCGCGCTATGTATGTAATTATTGCATTATATAAAACAGTTATTGTGGTGTTCTGCCATGCCTTGATGCTGACTCGTTGCCACTTTGCTAAAAGCAGAGCTCCCGCTGTAGGTAACACTTATTCCCGTTGGAAAATTCAAAGGAGGGCTTTCTGGAGGCATATTTACTTGCAGGAGTGACCAGGTTTTACGTTATAGATGAGAAATGGAAGTGGCAGGCTTGATTTGTATGGCACTGAAACCGTTCGCCTGGAGCATATTTTTTCACTAACAGGGTATCATGGCTCGTGATTTATTTAGACAGAGCCCAGAGATAAAGCCACAGCTCCCACCCCCTGGCTTGAGCAGATGATCCTGGCTGCCGGGACTTGCTCTTATTGATCATCTGATATTGATTATTAGAACATATTTGGAGCCAGCACAGTAAAAAAGTCTTGATGATCTGCACGGCGTTTCTTTCCCGTCCTGTGTGGGGAGAGGGGGGTCTGATAATGAGGTTCGAGCTCCCTTTCCCTGCAGTTCGACTTAGCAGAGGTTCCTCTTTAAAAATAGCTTCATTTCCCTGCTAGGACTTGCAGGCGCGAGCGGGCAGCCAGCCAGTCTGCTTCCCCACGGCCGCCAGCTCCATGGGCCCCGGGGAGGAGCTGGACCACAGGAGAGCAGCGTCCCGCTTTGGAGCCGTCCGTCTGCCTGCAGGACAGTGGGATGGCAGCATCCCTACCGGGGGGGCCTGATCCGCCTGGCTATGGGTTATCCCTGCCCTGTGCTGCCTGAAGGATTCCACACCCGGGGAACAGACCTGCTTAAAAATAAGATGGTGGGGCAATAGTGAGGTTGTGTAAGAGCTGTAGCGGATTCCTGTGCTTATTCTTTGTGTTTTATATGTCCCTGCAATCTGAAACAACAATTGCAAATGGGACATGAGTGTGAGGCTAAGGGCTCATGATAGAGCCCTTTCCAACCCTAACTGTTCTGTGATTCTGTGTTCATCCAATGCTGGGCAGGGAGGCAGCATCAGCTACATGCTTCCCTGAGGGCACTGCACACCCTGTGTTGGCCCATTTGGGGATTGAGCATCGGTACCCCAAAGAGAAGGGCTGAAAGCTTTTCCTTGCAAAAGGGGTGTGATGTGGGACCCCACTGTTGTGTGACAGCACCCCAAAACCCTCTTTGATTTAAAAGGGGTGTTGGAGCAGCCACATTGCAGCATGCAAAGGCTGGGGCATGGAACAGGGTCCCAGCGTAGGCTCCGCTCCCTTTGTAGTGAGGGTATTACCAAGAATAGGGTAAGATCCACCCCACAGATATCAGGTAACTACAGCAAAAGGAAAATGTGAGTAGAAGAGACAGGAGAAGCCCTGGAACAAAGGCTGACTCAATTCCAGAAGTGCTTTGATTTATAGAGGTTGAAATGCTCCGGGATGCTGCAAACTCACCAAGGTCATTGGGCCAGTTGTCAAATTCAAGAGCCATGGGACTTCTGATATTATTAGTTTAAAGCAGACCCTGGTTAATAAATCTGTCTTCAACACTCCTGGCTGGAGTGGAAAAGGGTGGAGGGGGAAAGAAAGGAGCCTGTTCCCACCTAACATAACCCATGGCCAGCACTGGGCATAGCCCTGGGACCCATTGAGCATGCTAGCAAGGTCTGCTGAGCTCCATCTCGTGTTGCAGAGGGATTTCTCCATTCCCTTTCCATTTCATCTGCCTGGAAGGTATGGTATGGCTGCCCTTACCCGCCCTTGGCTGGTTTGTACAGATTCCCTCTTGCGCCTCCATGGATGATCTTCCCCAATTGCAAAGACTTCAGAGCAGAGACCTGCCACTGAGGCTCCTCTTCCTAAATGCATCCTGCTTCCCAAAATGCTTTTTATCAGCATTGAGCACCTTGAGCTAAAGGGTAGGGTCTCACTGAATGAATGCAGGAGGTGTTAACTGCAGTTCAGGTCCTATTTGTTCAGCACTTTAAAGAGCACCAGAGGCACAAGAGAGGGGACCAGGCGCCTTGTGATTCCGATGGCTTTGGTTTAAGGCATAAGGCTGCTATTGCTGGGTAGTTCATTCCTGCCGTGGAAAAGGTTTTTCTTGCTAGGACTGCTGTTCCAGGTGGGAACAGGGGGGATTTGTCTCTGTACTGTCTTTTAATATTAATGAGAGTGGTCATTTCTTCCCTCCTTTTTCTTCTTTTACATTTCTTTCCATGTGGGATAAATTAAAGCACTGACTTTTTCTATTACAGCTTATTAATATATGTTATTTATTGTTGGAAAATGATTTCAGGGGTCTCCAAACAGAAACAGAAACATTTGCAATACACAAGGCTGTTTGTTGTTCTCCTATCTAAACCTCATTTATTCAAAATCCCAAATCCCAATTAAAGCCGTGAATGAGGGCAATAGTTCATATGTTCTCCTGCTTCACACAGCACTAAGTAGTGTCTTACAGTCAGCAGAGGTGCCTCCTTATTGATAATAATTGCAATAATGAGCTCTGTTTTCAGGTTTGGTGTGTGCCAGATGTGAAGAGTTCATTATTGCTTACGCAGGAGAGGAACCAATTTGCACTGGGACTTTGTTATTGCTGGGATGTGCTGGGATGCAGCCAGCCCATGGCTCCATCCTGTCCTTCAGCAGACTTGAATGGCCAAAACCTCCTCCATGTATCCAGATGTGTTGACCCCAACTCCAGGATCCAGGGTCCAGCAGTGACCTGCATTTCTTGCATGGAGGTTGACCTAGGCCCTTTTGGAGCTCTTATTGAGTGAAATCCTGATGGTCCTGGGGAAATCCTGTGCTTCCCAGGGTCTGTACTGTGCAGGAAGGGATGGCAAGGTGGATTTTGGGCCTCTCTGCCCCTTAGCTTGGCACGGATGATCAGCTGTGGTGGTTGATCTCCCTAATGATAGTAATCAAATAAATAAAACCATAAAATAGGCATCAGTCAGTAATATTTTATACCTTAATGTTACTGTATCTAATAATAGAAAAGAAGAGGCAGTACAGAAACAAAACAGATTCAGGAAAACATGTTTTTCAGGCCAAGCTTTAAGGAGTTTGACCTTTCTGAGGTTGTCAGAAGGATGGCTGGTCTATCCAGGGAATTGATGACTGTGTCCAAAGGACCTTCAGAGGTTGTAGTGCACCCTGAAGGGCTCTTAAATCCACTGGCAAAAAGCGAGAAACAGTGGTTGGACTCCACAAATGGGATCTCGTTTCCAAGTTTCTAGTTCTAACTTACTTAAAGAAGGATTTAGGAGCCCACGTGATGAAGGCAGTTTGGACAACAGAGATGTGATCTCATGAAAGAGCAGGCCCTGAGGATTTTACCCTGTTTTGAACTACACTAACGACTGTTTGTGGGGTATTCACAGAGCTTATTTTAATGTTAAAAGGGACTTAGATGAGGTTTTTCCCTGCCTGGAGCTTCTGTGCTTTGGAGTTGTGTGTTTTCCAATGGATGTGGCAATAATACTCTCTAGCCAAATCCTGTTATCCCAGTACATCTGCCACAGCCATGACTTGCAGTGGGATCACAGACACAAGGAGCAGGTTGCAGTCCTTTAGGCTGAGAAGCCA